GGGAGGGGGAGGGAGGATGAGGATGAGGATGAGGAGGCGGAGGAGGAGGAGGAGGAGGAGGATGAGGAGGAGGAGTTCAGGAGGAGGAGGAGGAGGAGGAGGGGGGGAGGAGGGGAGGAGGAGGAGGAGGAGGAGGAGGAGAGGAGGAGGAGGGAGGAGGAGGAGGAGGAGGAGGAGGAGGAGGAGGAGGCGGGGGTCGAGGAGGAGGGGAGGAGGAGGCGGAGGAGGAAGAGGAGGAGGAGGATGAGGAGGGGGAGGAGGAAGAGGATGAGGGGGATGAGGATGCGGAGGAGGATGCGGAGGAGGATGCGGAGGAGGAGGAGGAGGAGGAGGAGGAGGAGCTAATTCCCAAGCAGCCCATGGTGTTGGGTCCTCGGGTCCTTGTTCTGACACACGCAGCCCCCGCTCGTCTCGGCTCTGGGTGCTCCCCTTCCCTGCGTGCCTCTGTTCTCCGCGTGCCCGCTTCGGCACACCCCGCACGAGCTTGACAGCCCCATGAGAAGGTCGACCGAACGCCTCCGTGAAAGTGTCTGCATTGTAATTGTCTTATTCATTGTTTTGCCGATCGGCGCGGGCCATCGCACCCCCTCCCCCCTCCCATGGAGTAGATCTTGGCTGTTTTTGGCGCATGTTTCAAGAAGGTGGATTCTCCCACATCGGATGCACTGTTGCAAACGGTCGCCTTAAGCAGAGGTCTGTTGCAAACGGTCGCGTTAAGCAGAGGTCCAGGGCCAGACCCCCCCGCCCCCCCCCTTCCGCCCAAAGTCGAAGCGCCGAACAAGACAACGTCCATACGATGGGCCCATTTCGGCGCACCCCGCCCGCTTCGTGGCCAAAGAGGGCGGAGGCCCCAGAGGCAGCGCCCGCAGGCGTGCCCGCGCCCACTTCGGCACACCCCTCACGCGCTGCGTGGCCGCATGGGAGCTCCGCCGCAGGCCCCAGCGGCACGGCCCGCAGGCGTGCCCGCACCCCTTGCGGCACATCCCCTCACACGGTTCGGGGCCGCATCAGGAGCTCCACCGCGTGCCCCAGTGGCACCGCCCGCACGGCTCCGGTCGCATCGGTTTTGTGTGGCGCGCTGCCGATCCTGAGAGGGTCATCTCCTACGCTGCTCGTAGGCTTCTCGTCCCTCTTCATCGTACCACCTGCCTTGCAATACTGGCAGCTCCATGTGGTTGGGTCCTTCGTCAGGATCGTGTTCAGCAGGCTGGCTGCTGGCGTCGCCAGACGAAAGCGAGGCTGGTGGCGGCGAGGATGTTATGGGGTCGCGGGGCGCCGTTGCTTGCGGCGCCCCTACCCTCAGACCTCTCCAGGTGAAGAACAGTCGTACCTCTGGTGGGCTCCTTTCGGGTTCTCGTTCTGGCCGCTCGTTTTCTCCTTAATGTCGCACCTCGTTTGGGTAACCTTCGATTTTCTTACCGTCTGGCAGCAGGTCCTTCATGCTGTGCCTCATCGTGTGTGTTGCATTCGGGTCCTCACTCGTGCCGTCTGGCAAGGTCTCCGTATCGTGCCTCCTTCAGGACTTGTGGGTAGCCTTAGTGCCCTCTTGGTGGGTGGCCTTCAGGCTCTCGCTTTGTCCGTATGGAAGTTCTTGCAGGTGGTACTCCAAGCGGTGAGTGGCCTTCGGGTCCTCATCCTGGCCGCCTGGAATGTTGTCTTCGTTGTGCTGCCTTGGATGTGCATCCTTGTGATCTTTGCTCTGCCTGTCTATCATTTACTTCAGGTCGGACTTTGTCTGGTTGGTGGCCTTTCGGGTACTCGCTCTGGCCGATTGGCACGCGCTGCTGCGTGGGGCCTGAGGTCGTGGTGCCGGCCCTCTCACTCGCGGTGTGCCTCATTCTCAGCTGACCGACTCGGTGCAGCATGCGTCATCGTGCACGAGCGGCTCGTGCTTGCTCGGGCCGTCTGGCATGTCCTACAGGTCGTACCTCCCCGGGTGGGTAGCCTTCGGGTTCGCGTTCTGGCCGTCTGGCAGAGCTTTCACATCGTGTCACTTCTTTTTTATCCACTTCGGGTCTTCGTTTTTGCTGTCTGGCATGTCCTCCTGGTGGTACCCCGTCGGGTGGGTAGCCTTCGGGTCCACGTTCTTGCTCTTCGCGGTCTCCATGGCGTCCCTCGTCGTGGCTTGCATTAAATGCACCTGTCCGGACTGTATCAACCAGTATTTCAGCTTGTACATTGCTACGCGGCTGTGTCTCACTGCGCTCACCACGTATTTCCTTCGATAAATAGTCTGCCGCCGTGCCTCCGCAGAGCCTGCACACGTACCTGCCGAAGGGCAGGCGGGCAAACAATGTGGCCCGCATCGGCGTGGTGCGGCTGTTTGCGCCTTCTCCGGAGGAATCTCCCTGTGACGGTCGCAGAAGCCGGAGGCCACACCGATGTTTCTGCCACACCGTTTGCCCGAGTTCGAAGCTGCTGTTTTGTCTGTCACCACAGGGGCAGGTGCGATCGATCCTTCTCCTCCTCCTCCTCCTCCTCCTCCTCCTCCTCCTCCTCCTCCTCCTCCTCCTCCTCCTCCCCCCCCTCCTGCTCCTGCTCCTGCTCCTCCTCCCCTCGCGATCCCGTCGATCCCCCTCTGGCG